TAAAATCACTTCTACTCTGTTATTGAACCCACTTCATGAGACTGTACTTCATGAATTTTCTAGTCATTTTTAGGAAGCAACAAGTACTTGTCCCTTTAAGTTTTATTTTAGTAATTAAAATGATTTAATGAAATAATTTTTGAAACTTCAAACTTCATAATTAATGCTTTTACTTATCCCTCACCTTAGCTATATTGCAGTTGTCCATGTTCAGTAGGAAAACAGGGCAGAGCTTAACAGATGTGTGTGTGTTTTCCCCTTATCTCTCTTCCCTTGCCCAGCTTGCTATTAACCCTTGTTTCTTGCAGGGCAAGAGTAAGAAGAGATGAATGAAGTTCTTCCTTAACTAATACTATTACAAATTAATTTTAGTGCTTGTAGGTTCTTTAGAGATCCCCTCCCTATTGGTGGTGATATTTTTCTATTTTTAGTTACTTTAATATGGGTAAATTTAGCTTCTCTAGTTGTCATAACTCCTTTAAAAATCTGGGGCATTAAAAACTCAAATTTATTGAGGTATAGTTTACATAAAATAAAATATACAGATTGATCAGTTTTGACAAATGTATACACATATAACAACCTCCAAAATCAAGATGAAGAAAATTTACCCTCATATCTCTTCCTTCTAATTCCAAATTCCTAGGCATTGGCAGCATATCCCCTGCTTCCTTCTACTGAGGTCTCTTCAAACTTTCAGTGATCTCTCAATAAGATTAAGAAACTCAACCAATTCTCCCTTTGAGATGGCCTGTATCTAGTCTGTGAGAAGCATCCATGCATCCCTTACCCAGAAAAACTATGGGAGCACAGGTCGTCTCACTGCTATTACTTCATCTTGCTGTGCCATAGAGCACATAGTTAATTGTTCTCACTCTTTAGATTTTAGATTTTCTGGGGATGAGCGAGGTAGTAGTATTCTGTGTCCTCTAAACATGTTAATCACATTAATCTTCCAAGTTATTTCCTTGAAGGCTTTTCATCTTGAACTGAACTGGAGGTGGGACTTAAAGCACACTAATAATTCCTTCCAAAGAACCAGGTGTGATGATGCATACCTGTAATCCCAGCAACTCTGGAGGCTGAGGCAGGAAGATTTCTATTTCAAAGCCAGCTTCAGCAAAAGCAAGGCCCTAAGCAACTCAGTGAGACTATGTCTCTAATAAAATTCAAAATAGTTCTAGGGATGTGGTTCAGTGGTCGAGTACCCGAGTTCAATCCCTGGTACCGCACAACCCCCCCCCCCCCTAAAATTCTCTCCATTAGCAGATTTTCTGGACCTTTACTCAAGGTGGGTGGGGCAATTGACAATTGCAAGCTCAGTTTCTTTTTCTTTTTRTAGTTGTAGATGAACAGAATGCTTTTATTTTTATGTGGTGCTAAGGATTGAACCTGTGCCTCACATGTGCTAAGCAAGCACTCTACCATTGCAGCCCAAACTTGGTTTTCATAATCCACTTTTTACAAGCCTTGAGTGGTCATCTCACACCTCACTTTGCAATGTGGCATTTACTGTCTTAGCTCCTTAGTAGAGACACAAATCTCCTAGTATGCACATAAACCACCAGAAGTGGGTGATGATTATTCAGGAGCTTTGGGGGATATTACTGGTCCAAACTGTATTTTTACAGATGCCTTAGTTGGAAGACCATTAATAATTATGTATCATAAAAAGAGGCCCCTAAAGTATAACTTCAAACTAGATACAGAAGGATGAGCTTCATTTTGAAATGAAAGGATAAGAAGCAAGTTTAAGAAAAATAAAAGGTAGTAGATATCATTCACTGAAAAACATAAAAATCTAAGTGCTAGCATTTCTGCTTGGAGAGAGAGAGAGAGAATGAATGAGAATATTATTGCCCTAAAAAATATGGTCATTCAAAATGGTCTAGCAGAGAAGGCAGAGAAGTAAGCCATAATTAAAAGGGGCCTATGAATGATCAAATATTCAAACTTTGGAAAATGGAAAGAAAGGAAAGGTGCAAGGTACTCTCGCACAAGAAAGAGGCAGTTAACTCAGAATATGAGATTGTGTTATTTTCCTGGAAGAAGTGACCCAATCTGAGTTAAGAGCARATTTTAAACAAAGAAGGGATGAAAGTATGGAGAGAGAACAGAAAGAGCCAAGCCATAGATGCTTCTGAAGATGATGGAACCTTTAGTTCTGAAATGATGTGGTATGGCAAGAATGAGATTGTATGCCAGATGTGATAGCATACTCTTATTATACCAGTGACTTGGGAGGCTGAGGCAGGAGGATCACAAGTTCCAGGTCAGCCTCAGCAACTTGGTGAGATCCTGTTWAAAACAGAACAACAACAAAAAGACCTGGGAATGTAGCTCAGTGATAAAGTGTCCCTGGGTTCAATCCTCAGTGTCCCACATATACCCACTCATACCATAGCAGATGTTGCTTTAGTGAGAGCAGCAGGATTAAGAATAAGAAAGGGAAAAATTGTCTATAGCCATACCACACTGAATGTACCCAATCTTGGAAACTAAGCGGGGTTGGGCCTAATTAGTTCTTGGATGGGAGAAAGGAAAAAAAATGAAGACGTTTCTGATTCAGAATCTGGAACTTACTGAGTAGATTTGGGTTAGAGGAATAGTGGAGAAGAGTCCAGCACAACTTCCAAGTTTCTGGTTTGAGCTCTTGGGTAGTGTTGCTATTTATGAAAATAAGACATACAGGTAGAGAAGCAGAAGACTTCAATATTCTTTCATTCATTCAACAGACATTTATTAAAGATTTAGTGTATGCTGGGTCTAGAAAGAAAATCAATGATTATAATGCCTTCTAACAGGTATGTCTGATAGAGGTATGTATAGAGAAGTAATTGAGTACATAGGGCAAGCATATAAACCACATTAAAGAATTAGGAAAACCTCCTGGAAGAGATGCCTAATCTGAGCCTTTTTTTTTTTTAAATTGAGGTGAGCAATGCATAAAATTAACCATTTAAAAGTATACAATTCAGTGGTGCTTAATATATTGAGTTTCATCAAACATCATCTTTCTCTTAATTCCAAATAACCTGAATTTGAAGGATGACTAAAAATTCACTAGATAAAGAAAGGAGTGGGGGAAAGCATTTTAGAATATGAGAACAGTATATTTTATGACATGAAGACCACAAATTCATGACTAGTCATGGAAGACAGGGCTAGAGGGGGCCCAATAATAAAGTGTCCACACTTTAACTTGACCTAGAAAGCTTGGGGAGTCCTCAAAGGATGGTAAACTGGCGCTTGACATGACACAATTTTCCTTTCATAAATATTACTCTGGTGGGGCTGGAGATGTGGCTCAAGCGGTAGCGCGCTCGCCTGGCATGCGTGTGGCCCGGGTTCGATCCTCAGCACCACATACAAACAAAGATGTTGTGTCCGCCGAAAACTGAAAAATAAATATTAAAAATTAAAAAAAAAGAAATATTACTCTGGAAATAGAATTATTGATGCTGTTGAAGGGAAAGAATCAGATAAATTAAGTTGGAGATTTTATGCCAGAATCCAAGTTAAGAGGTGATGAAAGTCTGAGCAAAGGCAATGATAGCAATAGTGGAAGGGAAGAGAAAACAAGAAATAAGGATAGAGAATTTACATGACTTGATTACTGACTGGACATCAATCTAGAGGAAGAAGTAAAGGATGATTCCCATCTTTCTGCTTTGGATCACTAGAATGATGGTGGTGGCATCCTTTTAAAATCTGGGGGAAAATGATCAGGTTGAGCAGGTTTGAATTTATGTTTCCAAAGCCTCAGCTAAGTTAAAGATCTCAGAGTTGGTTTAATATATGGATCTATACCTCCCCAGAGAGATGAGGGCTACCATCTTTCTGTTGGTAAATGAAGGCAAGAGTTTGGACAAAGTCACTAAGAAAAGGGGTACAGGGAAAAATGAGCAGAGAACCTATGATCGAGCTTTAGGAACCAATATTTAAGGAATGCAAAGAGGAAAACACTAGAGATAAAAGGTGTGGTCACCTGAAGCAAAGATAGAGTTTAGCAARACAGGACAGAAAAGTGGAACTGAAAAAAAGGGGAGATAGCCAAGAGGGAATAGGTTGGTCTAATTTGAAGGGGGAAAAAGGTGAGGGGTCTGTGGGAAAATGATATTGCTCAGACTATATTATTATCACTTGGACCCCAATAAGCCACACAAATCTCTTCACTCAAAAATATGCAATTTATTTTACCATAAACTTCTTAGAAACAATATTCCAAATATATACAATTTCTTCTCAAAATAATTTTATGGAATGAAGACAGATGCTCACCAATTATGGTTRTATCCCCCTAAGACATGAGTCTAAAAAAATCCTCTCCATTTTTCCCATCCTGGTTCTGAGGTCTGATCATGCATCAGTTCTTGGGTCAAAGGGGTCAAAAGAGAGGGGAAGAAAGCAAAATCTTGAGCAAGTTATCCCGGCAAGAACCACATCTTTTTTTGGGGTCCAGAAACTCTCCTTTGGCTTCTCAAGACCAACTCTCCAAAGCTGCCTCCCACTTTTGCTACCAGGGCCAGCAAAATACTCACTCTAAATCTCCCAAATAAACCTAAGAAGAGTGCTAGGATGGAAATATGTTCCTATGGGCCCCTGGGAAGGTTATGCTCTGGGTATGGGAGATAGGGTCCAAAGTAAGATTCTTAGGTCCTATCTTCTTTTTCTCCTTCCCTGCACTGTCCCTCTACCACCTCTACTTCCACATTTGCTTTTCTGGATTAAAACTTGAGAGGGATGGTGGAAGGGAAGCCTGAGATTGATTTTTCTTGAAATGCTACAACTCTGGCAGATATCTGAGGACTCTTTCCTTACCTCTTGCCTTACCTGGGCACAGCCTTTCTGGGGAATGAAGAGGCTGAGTCCCAGTCCTGAGAGTGGAGGAGCAGGTTTATGCTGTTCCCAGGGACTCTAATCCCTCCTTTCTAAATGCATGTATACAAGGGAGGAAGAACAATAACTGACTGTTTTTGGGTTTCCTTAAGGGCCTCTACTTTTTAAGAGGAAAGCTGTTTTTCTTGGCCTTTGTTGTCTTTCCAGAAGTGATGAGGGCCCCAAAGCCCTGTTTGTGGGAGAATGCATAGGCAGAACGTCGCAGGCCTGGGTGTTTCACTTTGGTCCGGACTTGAACTTGTGGTGGCCGTATCTTGCCATAATGAATTGTGTCCAAAACCTGTATCCAGAGCATGGGGGATGGGGTTTTATTCACAAAGGCAAAGGGGAAAAGGATTATAAATCATATCTGGGTAGGCTCCCTGTTCCACTTACCTTGTCCACACTGAGAGGCCAAATTAGTGGTTGGAGAAACTGGTACCCAAATGCAGGAATTATACAGAGGATCACACTGAGGATAAGGCCCAGCCACAACTGTGACTGGTTCATAGTGTTCCTAGCCACACCTGTACACAATGAGCAAGGAGGGGTAAGGCAAACAGTCTGGAGAAAGGGGAGAGGTTAGGAGTGGGCAGTATTAGCCAGAACTTAGATACCTCTCTAGTCCAAAGAAGGATGTTATTGGAGACAGTCTGGTCTCCTGAGGAATGATATAAATGCAAAATAATTGCAGTTGGGTCCTTTGTGCAGCCAGTCACTGTGAATTTGCATACTTTTGTATCCCTCTACAGGCCSGGCAGGCAGGAGAGTGGGGGGTAGGTAATGGGGAATCCTAGTACATTGGCTTGTATACAAAAATGGGACAGAAAGCTTTAGAGGAGAAAAGTGAGTTAGTGGCCTGACAAGAGATAGAAGCCAAGGACATCTATTTGGCTACTCTTTCTGTATTTTATCCTCATGAAGTGGACTTGAGACAGAGAGAAATGAATACAGGAGACAAYAAGGCAGTAATGCTACAGTATAAAGGATGTTGACTGGAATCAGGAGACCTATATTGAGTCATTTAATTGAAAAAAACCTCCAGTCTCCAAAATGGTGCTAATAATTCTTGCCCTGCCTACATCATAGTATTCCCGTGAAGATCAAACTAGATATTTGAAAAAAAAATCATGGAAACTCTAAGGTAAAATATTTTTTAATCCTATCTAGGTAGTCCTACCTAGATTTTGAGTCCCTTTAGGTTAGAGATCATTTCTTATTCTTTATCCACAGAGCTTAGCGCATAGTAATAGCCTCTCAGTAAACATTTATTTAATAAATATACTTGGTACCTCCCCCACCTATTGGCCAGGGTCTTACCTAGGAATTGAAAGATGCTGGGGAACATTAGACACAAGCCATCACTGTACAGGAAGAATAAGATGCAAAAGTAGAAACCCAGGCTACCCCAGATGAAGAAGTGGCTTATCATCGTCCAGTAGGTTGTCTGCAGGGCAATCTGAAAAGCACTAGGTTATGTGCAATACTCTATAACCTGCTATCTCTGTTAGCCCACCTCCCTTCTCCAATTCTGTGATGAAGGATGCTCCTTTCTGTCTCCCCCCCTCCTTACCTCCCTGTCCTTCTAGACAGCTCCCCATCCAATCCCCTCATTCCCACTGCTACTGGCCACACCTGCACTGTGACCACCCAGATCAAGGAGGTTTGTACTAGCAGGCAAAAGGTCTGGATGTCGGAGATGTCCTTTCCATCACTGCGTGCTGAGTTGTAAATTGTTCCCATGGGGACAAAGAACAGCACAAAGGAACTGTAGATCCCGTGTAATAAACACTTCACAAATTCCTTCTTGTTGAAATAGAGGTTGTGCTGGCCTGGGATATACAGCTCTGGGAAATGTAGGCTCCAAGTTTCATTCACATCCTGGAAATACCAGAGGGAAGGAGGAAGGCTCAGAGTCTCTCCATAGAAGGTCCCATCTCCATCAGAGTAGAGGTGTCTCCCCTCATTGTGTCTGCTGCCAGGCTGCCTAGGAGCTTCCTMATGGAGTACTTGAGAAGTGGAACCAGAGAACAGGGCAGCGACCACAGACCCTTCCTGAACTCCTCCTCTCTAGGCAAGGATCAAGGTARTAGAAGGAAGCTAGGAGAAGGTCAGGATGGTGAGAAGCACTTGGAGGCATTCAGGATTAGAGAATTGTGAAAGGGAGTTTGGTTTGGGGGTAGCTGGAAGGGAGGATGGAGCTTGGAATGGAATGGGGATGGCATTAAAACATGGGTCCCCAAATGTAAGTGTTCCTTTAGTTTTTTTTTTTTTTTTTTGTGTGTGTGTGTGTGTGTGTGTGTGTTAAAAGCTAATGGGTAAAGAACAGGAAGCCAATGGGGGACTAGTTAGTCCTTTGGAAACATCCGTGTTCATGATGTTCTTCCTATTCCCTCCCATAGCTACTGATGAACTCAAGGTGGGAGAATTCTCTGTATGAATGATGCTGGCTTGTCTTCATCTTCCAAATATGAAACTTGAAATTCAAAACTTGGGGCATGGCTTCAGTGGTAGATGACTGGAACTAGATCATCGAAGCAGGATAGTACTACTGAGTAACACAATCTATCCCTCTTGTCTTTCTGAGGTTTGGCAACTACTTCATGTAGAATTTCTTTCAGCGCCACTACCCTGATGGAGACTGGGAACCATGATTCCATGATGTCCTATTTCAGTTGCTTTACAACTCTTTGGATGCTCCTTGTCTACTGTGGTGCTCAGGAGTTGAGACTGGCATAGAAGAGGAGGGGGAAGGGGTACTAGGACCCTCAACATGCAAAAAATTTCTGAGAGGGACAAAGGGTATATCCTGGTCTAGCTCCCTGTGACGCATGGAATACACATGCTCCCATGCTTGTTCCTTAGAACTCCCCACCTAGTCTTTCCTGCTTGGCTTAGCTCATCCTCATCATCTCGAAATGGTAATCATCTTTGTTTTTTTGTTTTTGTTTTTGGTATGAGGGATTGAACCCAGAGGCATTCAACTACTGAGTCACATCCCTAGTCCTTTCCTTAATTTTTATTTTGAGATGGTCTCATTAAGTTGCTTAGGGCCTCACTAAGTTGATGAGGCTGGCTTTGAACTTGAGATCCTCCTGTTTCAGCCTACAAGCTGCTGGGATTACCGGCATGTACCACYACACCCTGCTAGGGAATCCCTTTTCTTGAAGCCCCTTGCTTTACCCAGTCCTGATCCAATAGCTCTCTTTCATTTTACTACTTTTGGATACACTCAATGTACTATATAGCATAATTTCCATGTTTCTCTCTCTAAAGTTGAGACAGGAAAACCTGACTTTTAAAAACTGGTGATTATTTTCAGTGCAGGAGGATTTTTTCTTTTTCTCATGATACCTATTCCAGGCAATAAGCTCMTTTACTTGCTCTAGAAATTATTTTCTTTACAGTTAATTTTGTTGAGTTCAGTTCTTGCTCTTTCCCCCACTCTTGGGAATATTCCTCAAGGGTTCAGGGGCTTCAACCCTGACTCAGAGGCTTGCTGCTGGTCTTACCTGATCAAATAGACTCAAGCCCAGGACAGGGAGGGAGGTGTAAATCAAATTGTAGCAGGTGATAAACCAGGTATCATAGACTGCCTGGAAGAATACCAAGGAGATTTTTAAATTCTCCTCTCTCCTCCAAAGTCCCACCTCCACCTCCCAGGCCCAAGATAGCCCTCCCCTGGCTGCCTTAGTCACCACCATACTAACCCAGAGTTAGTATGGGTTTCAGAATTTGACTGAGAGCTCCAATTTTTTATTTGATCCTACTGTATGTAGAACCCTCTGTCCAAGGCTGGTGCCAGGCCACATCAAGCTTTCAATGCTGATCTGCACCATAACCTGCTCTGCTCCTTCCTGCAGAGAAAGGACTCAAGAGTGTAGCCACACCCATGCACTACCAGGCAAGTAAACCTTTAGGCTGTTTTCTTTTTCTGCCTTATATGGCTTCAGTGGCTTCTGTAGCACTGGACATCTAACACTGGCAAAGGGAATAGACTCATCCAACCTTCTGCAGCTGGGTGTTCCATTCTGGGAACTAGAAAGGAACTCTTTCCTTACTATCCACAAGAGGTCAGCAGCAACACATGTAGCACACACACACACCTCCCACAAACCAGACTGGCTTGGCTAGGCCCTGAGGGTATACAGTCTCCCACAATCCACAGTCTGCTAACTGGTCATTTCTRAGGTGGTTTCTTTTGGTAATCTTGACAGACTCCTGAAAAACTTATAGGAAGGGGACTGCTCTTAAAACATCAAAATTCAGGTGTCACTTTTCCCCAGAATGGTTGTGGAAATTTCATATTTCAAATGAGGAATTAATTCACCCAAGCAGCAACTGTGTGTGTGTGTGTGTGTGTTTGGGACAGGGGTGCAGGCAGTCAGGGTAGAGAAGGAGAAGTAAAGGGAAGCTGTAGTGAATGTCAGAATAGCTTGTCTGGCAGGACCCAGAGGCCTTAGCCTATTCCATAAAGATATTTTGGATGCTAAGAAAAATTCTAGGTCCATCAGTATTTCCCATCACATGTGTTTGGAAATTCTAATGCCAATGTTAAAGAAAAAGTGAAACTAACTTATTAGGAAGATTTCTGAAGGTAGGTATTAAGAACAGAGCTAAGCCAGAATCTTTACGGTTTGGAAATCTACAATTAGTGCAGGGTTGGGAGATGGGATCAATATGGGGTGAAAAGCTTTATGGGTTGGCATAAAGCTATGGATGGATGGCAGTGTGTCATACATTGGTCTCTAGAGGTAGAAAAAGGTCTGAGCTTGTTAAAGTGTGAGTGACCAAGATGATTAGGGTCACATGCCTTTGATCATGCTGACATCATTGGCCCCATCCCCAATGAACTCCTACCTGTGCAGAGAATCCGTTGAAAAAAGCATACCAGAAGTGCACCAAGGTGAAGACAAAATTCTTATAAAAGAAGAAGCTGAGAAATTTGCACATGCGATTATAAGACCAGCGGCCATGTACCAACAGCAGACGTTGAAGGTAGCGGAACTGGGAGAAGGCAAAGTCACTGTTGAGCATGGCCTGCATCCCCTCCTGGCCGCTGATGCCGACCCCAATGTGGGCAGCTGCAGTGAAAGCCCAGAAGATTCTAAGCCACAGAGCTTATTTGTTAGACTCCCACCCTGAGAAATGTAAAGGAAATGCTGGATAATGTTGCATAAACCCCTTGTTTTACATTTGGAAAATACTCAGGCTCAATTCAAAATGGCAGTTCATTAAGTAGAGCCCTTCCCCCTTAATGGAGTGCCCCCCCCCACAACCTGGAAAACAGTCTCTTTCTGTACTTTTTTTGAATGCTGCCACTCAAGAATGCCTGGTAACTCAAAAGTTGTCCCAGATATTTTTTGCTTCTACTCTATCTCTTTAGACTCTTTCCCACATCTAGATGTTAAGGTTTAAATATCTTATTATCTATGGAAGTCACTTAAATCAATTAAGGATGCAAAATGGATGCCAATCTAATATAATATTTAATTATTTAAGTTTACCTAAGGGACTGAAACCTGAACTATTGGGAGCAATAGTTTTTCAGTGAGAGATAAACTCTTCAGTAGGTCTCAGGAGAATTTTTCTGGATAAAGCAAAGATTGTATTTGATGGAATATAAGATTGAAGTTCCTAGAAGTTTTAATCAGTCTGTGGTAATTCACTATTCTTCTGGTCAAATTTACTGATCTGGTATATACCTCCTACTGCATTGCTTAATCTCAGCCTCTAAAGACCAGAGTGATTCTAGAAACTGGTTAAGACAGCGAGAACACTTGATAGTATTGAAATTGAGGCTGGAATATCTGCTAGTGTTTCCTGTGTAGGTAAAGAGATGAGACTAGAGGACCTCTATATTTTGTCCATATCTCCCTGATCAACAAACTGCTGGAGGCTAATAATATTCATCTGAAATTAAAACAAGTAAATTTCAGCAATTTGCTTTTATTGGTCCAAAGTGATCACTAAATCTATTCTCTCCCAGCCAGGGGAGCCAGGGCAAGTTCTTGAGAACACAGCGTTGGGCTGCATTAGGCCTCATAGCCTACATCCTTCAAAAAAAGAGCAGACTATGACTCCTGCCCAGGGGTTCTTTCTGTGGGCCTTGATGTCATCTCAGGTGGTATGGTAGTTGTATAGCTTGTTGTGTTATGAATGAATACACATATTCTTGTGGGAGCCATGAGTTTCTATGTATTTACCTTCATAGTTAAGTAAATGAATCTGAATACTTGCATGCCTGTGGATATGGGCAAATATCTGCAGGTGTAAATAAGTGGGAATGCAGGTGTAAAGGAACAGGAATGGAGTTGCAAAACATTATCACTGTGTACTGCTTAATAGGTAGGAGTATGAGCCAGCAATACAATGCCACTCAGATCAATTTTGCCCATGAAGGAAGAAAGAGGCAAGTCATGATTGAGGACTAATGCCCCCCCTTCCGCTCACATGCCTTTGATCATGCTGACGTCATTGGCCCCATCCCCGATGGCCAGTGTCACCACCTTCTTGTACCTCTTCACCAGCTCTACCACCTGGGCCTTCTGGAAGGGTGTCATCCGGCAGCAGATTACCCCCTTGCACATGCTCGCTGTTCGTAGCAGTTCCAACTCCAGGTTCCCTTCTAGAGCATAAGCCTGCAATACCAAGACATACCCACTCTTCAAGCTGCCCAGAAATGATCTTTCGAGTTTCCTCCCCTTGCATTCAAACTCTTTTCTTTCATAGGGTAGGCATAGCTGCTCCCAAGGTAATCTACCCCAAAGGAAGGCCAAACCCCTAAGGCAATTCTAGGTATTCTCTGGCTGAGCCTCAAATGGGAAACTAGTCAGGCCTCTCATTAAGTCAAATCTGTTGATAGGGCTATATGAGGCTAAGTGACTTCTTGGAGGTCTGGTTCTGCTGGGTTCCTGTTTCTTCTAAGTGACAGGTCACATTGGTAGTAAAGAATTTGGATCAAGAAGGAGTTTTTTCTTGGCTTTCCTTTCTTCATTTATTCATGCCAAGAATATCTTGGGGAAAGGTGTCTTTCAGGCATTGGCATCTGAGAAATGGGCAATAGGACAGCTAAGAATAGGGAAGAGGTCTTGAAATTTCCCTGAAGTGTGTTGAACCTAGGAAGGGAGTTCCTTGGAAGAAGAGTTATAACTCTATAATAGCCTACCAGACTGTAGCCACTGATGATTAAGCCATAGTCGCCAGAGGGCACCTCCTCAGGCATTGTGAAGGACCTTTTGGACTTCCTCTTTAGGTAAATGTTGATTGGGTCTGATTCCAGTAGAGATTCAGGTTTCATCCTGCCCCTTGCTCTCCTAAAAACCAAGAATAGTGGTCAGAGCTTAGGAAAATRTGCCCATGGTGAAAGTAGTCAAGAAAGGTACAAGTACTCTACAAATCACTGGCCAGGACCTTAGACTTGACTGTCTCTTGAGACCTGCTACTGCTGTAGGTTCCTGAGCACCGTGAACCTCACTTCTCCATCCTCCACACTCCAACTCCTCTAGTCTGAGTGCTTCTTTATAAAAATTCTCTCATATATTCAGATTTTCCTCCCTGCTACATTTCTTCTTTATTCCTTCTGATGTTGTAGAGTTCACATTGGGGGAAGAGATGTGTAGGGAATCTTTGATCTAGGGATTGGCTGTGGTGACCCTCCAAACTGTACCTGAGTTCTTGCAGAATTGTATCACTGTCCTTGCCTTCAATCACAAACACCTCATCCATTTCATCCTCAAATACATTACAGGAGTAGGCAATGTTCACAGCAGTTTCTGTAGGAAAGGCAACACAGATCTCATTTTGGCTGGCGTTTATAGATTGGGACAGGGTTGTCACAGGGTATAGTTTATATCCGCACTAACAGTGGGCTTCAACTCCACTTGTCTACATTTGCCTTGGATGCAAAGTGTATTTTTTATTAATCAGTGAAAGTCTCATTCAAACATTGACAGATGAGTGTCTACTTGGTACAGATTTGTGAATAATTTATTAATAACTAGAACCATTCAGGTTTAGCCTTCTCTAGAAAGCCTTTTCCTATTGCTGAAAGTAACATCTGTCTGTATCCACTTCTCTAGGCAATCAGGATATATTTCTTAGAACATGACTGTGCCTATTTATTGCCCCCACCCTTTTTGGCAGTACTAAGGATTGAACCCAGGAGTACTGTACCACTGAGCTGTATCCCCAGCCTTTTTAATTTTTGAAATTTAATTTTGAAACAGGGTCTCTCTAATTTTCTCAGGCTAGCTTCAAAGTTGTGATCCTCTTGCCTCAGCTTGAGACTATARGGATGTACCACCACATTCAGCTCCATCCTAGACTTTATGGGGAACTGAGGCATGTTTAAGTTGTATCCCTTCTTTACATTAGAAAACCTGGAATTTGAAATAAATTCATACAAAGGAAAACATTTTTAAAAATTAAGTCCTGAACCCTGGCCACAAGTAGTATCGAAATTCAGAAGAGAGATTGCAGTTGTCACAGGAACTTTCTTGAAGGAAGGCCTTGAAGGATGAGTAAGAGTGTTAGGGGTGCTTGCTTTGGCAGCACATATACTAAAATTGGATGGATACAGAGAAGTTAGCATGGACCCTGCATAAGGATGACATGCCAATTTGTGAAGTGTTTCATATTTTTAATACTTGGGAATAAATCTAACCAAGGAGGTGAAAGATCCCCTAAAATAAAAACTATAGAACACTGAAGAAAGAAAATGAAGACCACCTTAGAAGATGGAAAGACCTTCCATGTTATTGGATATGCAGAATTAATATTGTCAAAATGGCCATATTACCAAAAAGTGTTATATATATTCAATGCAATCTCCAACAAAATACTAATGATATTCTTCACAGAACTAGAAAAAATGGTCTTAAATTCATTTGGAAGAATAAAAAACCCAGAATAGCCAAAGCAATCTTGAGCAAGAAGAGTGATGCTRGAAATATCATAATACCTGATCTCAAATTATACTACAGAGCTATAGTAACAAAACATCACAGTATTGGCATCAAGATAGACATGAAGACCAGTGGAATAGAATAGAAGACACAGAGTCAATCCCACATAGTTAGAGTCATCTGATACTTGACAGAGGAACCAAAAATCTATGTTAGAGAAAAGACAACCTTTTAAACAAATGGTGGTGGAAAAACTGGATATCCATATGTAGAAGAATGAAACTAGAACCCTATCTCTCACCTAGCCCAAAAGTTAAATCAAAGTGGATCAATGACTTAGGAATTGGGCCCCAAACTTTTCAACTTCTAGAAGAAAACATAGGTTTAACAGCCCAACATATTGGCACAGGCACCAACTTCCTTAACAAGACCCCTAGAGCTCAAGAAATAAAACCAAGAATCAGTAAGTGGGATAGCATCAAATTAAAAAGCTTCTGCGCAGCAAAGGAAATGATTAAGAGCATGAAGAGACAGCCATCAGAATGAGAGAAAATCTTTGCCTGGGCTAGGGATGTGGCTCAAGTGGTGGTGCGCTTGCCTGGCATGCGTGCGGCCCGGGTTCAATCCTCAGCACCACATACAAACAAAGATGTTGTGTCCGCCAAATACTAAAAAATAAATATTAAAATTCTCTTTTTCTCTCCCTCTTTCTTTAAAAAAAATAAACATTTATTAAAAAAAAAAGAAAATCTTTGCCAGTTACTCCTCTGATAGGGGATTAATATCCAGAATATATAAAGAAATCAAAAAGCTTAACACCAAACTAAAGCAAACCAAAGCACCCCAAATAATCCAATGAATAAATGGGCAAAAGAATTAAATAGATAATTCTCAAAAAGAAAGAAAGAAAACAAATGACCAAAAAATGTGTGAAGAAATTTCAACATTACTGGCAATCAGGGAAATGCAAATAAAAACTACATTGAGATTCCATCTTAATTCTAGTTAGAATGACAATCATCAAGAATACAAATAATAATAAATGCTGGTGAAGATATGGGAAAAAAGTACACTTATACATTGTTGGTGGGACTGTGAATTAGTACAATCATTTTGGAAAGCAATATGGAGATTCCTCAGAAGAAAAGGGATATTAACCACTATATATAGATCCAGCTATCCCACTCCTCAGTATTTACCCCGAAGAACTAAAATCAGCACACTATAATGAGACAGGCACATCAGCACAATTTACAATAGCCAAGTTATGGAACCAGCCCAGGTGCCTGATGAATGGATTAAGAAAACATGATATGTATACACAGTGGAGTTTTACTCAACCATAAATAATGAAATTATGGCATTTGCCGGTAGATGGATAGATCCGGAGAGTATCATGCTGTGAAATAAGCCAGACTCAAAAAATCAAGAGTCAAATGCTTTCTCTCATATGTGGAAGCTAGAGGAAAATAAGGGGAGGGGGAAGGGAAGCTAGAGGAGGGATTGAATTCATAAGAATAGAGGGAAGATCTGTGGAATAGAAGGATATTGAGGGGAAGGAAAGAGGGACAGGAAAGGGGAGGAAATGCAGACTGAATTTGAAAAAATTATGCTATGTGTATATATACATATAATAGTGAACTTCACCTTTATGTATATCTATAAAGCACCAACTAAAAATAAAAAAGTAAATAAATAAAAGGAAGGCCAGCAGGGTAGAAGAAGAAAAATAGTGGGTGGGAGGAGGGGAGGGGAAGAGGAGGTACCAGAGACCAAAATGGAACAAATTAAATTTAATGCATGCATGATTATGACAAAATGAACCTAACTATTATGTATAACTATAATGTACTACTAATAAAAAAGAAATATTTTAAGCTAAAGCTACTCCTCTATCCCCCACAAAAAAGGAAAAGGTATTTCAAGTAGGGAAACAACCCAAACATAGACCCTAGAGTAGGAATTGGTTTGTTTGGGACATATTGAAGATAATGGTTATATTAGGATGCAGATAAGGTTGTAGAGGTAGCAATGGTTTACCAAGAACTTCCTTTCTTTTTCTTTTTTTTTTGAAGAAATGGAGATTGAACCCAGGGGTGCTTTACCACTGAGTCACATGCACAGCCTTTTTAAAATTTTGATACAGGGTCTGCTAAATTGCCCMGACTGACCTTAAACGTGAATTCTTCTTGCCTCAGCCTCCCAAGTCACTGGAACTATAGGCATGTGCCCCCACATCCAGTTTCAAGGTCTTGAAGATCAGATAGAATCTGACCTTTTTAATGTAGAATCCCTGTAGGTCCCTGAGCAGAGGAGTAACACCATAAAATTTGAAAATTTGAGGAAAATTAAACTGATGATTGTATATAGGCCATGCTGAAATTAGTAATGGCAAAAGACAGATCAATTCAGAAATTTTTGTAGAACCACAACAGAGGATGAAGGTTGAATTAGGGTGATGACATAGTCAAGAGGATTTTTCAGAAGAATTGGTGGGACATGCTAAAATATTGGAGACAACAGAGAGTGTACAAAGATAACTTTAAAGTTTTTAGCCTAGCTACTCTGGAGGCTGAGAAAGGAGGATAGCAAGTTTGAGGCCAGCCTGGGTAATTTAGTGAGACCTTCTCTCAAAATAAATAAATAAATAAATAAATAAATAAATAAATAAATAAATAAATAAATAAATAAATAAAGTGTGTGTGTGGGGGTGTTGAGAATGAAGCTCAGTATTAGAGCACCTGCCTAGCATACATGAGGCCCTGGGTTCCAATACTGGGTTCAATACTGCAAAAAATAAAAAAAATTGATAATAAAGTTTTTAGCTTTTAAGTTCCTGGCTGAAACAGGGGTCATGTTTGATTGATTGATCATCTCTATGTTTTCATTGAAAAATACAGCATCTGGCATACAGTGCATGCTCAGCAAATTGTATACAAAATTAGACATTGAAGGGACTTCATTTGAGTTACAGGTATTTGTCAAGAAAATTGGTAAGAAAAAAGGAAAAAAAGAGGAAAGAAATGGTTAAAGTAGGTGAGGAAGAGAGTCATGCAGGCTAGGAGCTTTTACCTTGCTTATCACCAGTTAAAACCCATATTTTAATTCTGGCTTTGTTCAGGGTGATGATTGTCTCAGGCACTCCATCTTGCAGTTTGTCTTCTATGCCTGTGGCCCCTAACAGCTTCGAACAGAGAGATCAATGAGTGAGGAAGAGAGAGAGAGAGAGAGAGAGAGAGAGAGAGAGAGAGAGAGAGAGAGAGAGAGAGAGAGCACTATATGCTACCCAACAACTGAACTGGCACTTCAGTGTTATCTTCAGTGAGCTAGCTCTGTCCTGGAGGATCCTGGTGGCATAGCACTCTGCATACTTTTCCTCTCTACACATACAACTTTTCAACCACACATTGAAATCAAATTTAGAAAATTAGTATTAGGTACCAGAGAGGGAAGGGATTTGCCTGAGTCATTCATGAAGTTAGTTATGTGCTACTTCTAAACCATCTGTTTCTCAATACACCTTCACTTCTCCCTTGCTTTACTGCATACTTCCTGTCCTCAAATGTGGCAAGTCTTAAGGAAGGATCTCTGTAATCCTACTCCAGTTTTCCCTTCAGCCCTACAAGGGCTTGGGTGTACTTTGCTATTGTACCTATTAGAAATATCTAAGGGTTCCAAGACTTTTTTCCACATTAGATTAAAAGAATCTTGATCCAACATCATGCTTTCTCTCTCTAATAACACAACAGTGCGGAGACAAGAATAAGCCCGAAGAACTGACAGATGGATGAATTACTAATTCTGCCAGGCCTGTAGAAGGACTGAATGTAGAAGGAGATTAGGGATCTCTATATTTTCCCTTTGGTGTCAGTCATTTCTGTTTATAGCAGGGCTGGCCTGTATCAGATTGGTCAGAAATGTCAGGGTCATTCTTAACATTTCTTTTTCTCATCCTCAAGAGTCCAATCCATCAGCAAAATCTGTTGTCTCTACTTTTAAAAACCATACATAATTTGACCATTCCTTGTCACTTCTACTACTTCTGTTTGATTCAAGCCATCATCATCTCTCACCTGTACTATTGTCCTAGAGTATAAATMAACACTGCAATCAGACTAATGACTTTAAAAACTATATCACTTCTCTGGTTGAACTCTTCCATGGTTCACCATATTTACCACAAGTCCTTACATTGGCTTATGATGACCCATTCCTACTTGTCACATTGCATGTCCTTTCATTCTCTCCTCCTTACTCATACTGTCCCAGCCACACTGGCTGCCAGCTAACAAGTTAGGCCTGCTCCTGTGTCAGGGTTTTTTTTCTCTTGYTACTACTTTGTCTGAAAAGCTCATTTGCAAAGCCAGAGGGCTGCTTGGCTTACCACATTTTTTCTTCGAGTTTTAAAACATAGCTTTTGTTTTTTAAAAAATTAATTATGTGCATTACAGGAAACAGAAAAACAGAAGCAAAAAGCAAAGTCATCAAGTCACAAGCAGCTTAGTTGGATATGTCATGCATATACATATACAACATCCTATTTTGTGTGATTGAGATCATGTGTGTATCATGCTTTCCACACATCCAAGAATATTCATCAATTCAAAATCCCAAACTATATCAGTATTTTTGATAAATAAGAATACACTATACCAATTCAATCTGTTAAAAAAATTGCAATCCTTTCTTGGGGACAAAAATTTCACTGAAGACAGAAATGGCAACAGGCCTCTAGATAGACATATTGGCAGAGTTATAACTAAAACAATGCAGTCTCTTAATGCTCAATTTAAAATAAGACAAAGCAACAGAATATACCAAGCATGTTTCTAAGAGCATTCATTATCAGATTTCTACTACTAAAATATTAGCAAGAATGCATGTTTCCAGAATTAAAGTATTCCTATAGTTCAGTCAGAGATGCACACACATCAGTGGATCACATCAAAATGTAGACCCTTGAGCTCTTGATTCCATCTCTCCCTGTGTGCTTCCTTCTGCCTATCTGCTGTAGCCTAATAAACAAGTCCTGATATGCACTTCCCAAAGATAAAACAAAACAACAAAACCAAGATGCACCTTTTCTATCAATTATAACAAAAAGATATTTATAAGTTGGCTGATTCACTAGCTCTACTTTTTATGATACACTGTCACCTCAGGACATTTAGAAAGCTTAGATGTTGTGAAATAAAGTATAAACTTTGTGCACAATAAACACAAGTACTTTACCAAAAATGCATGTATAGATCTATGGTTATAATCTAAAACTTTAGAACACTTCCCCTCACACTTTCTCTTCTCCCTCTTCACCATTCCAGTGACTGAGTTCAGGACTACCCCCAGCTCCAAGAGGTGGATTAACAAAGGTCATTCCCAGAAGATAATTCTTCCTAAAAACTAATAAAATTATATTTATGTAGGGACTATTTTGCTACTTCTAAAAAACTTTGGGCATTAAACTTATTCTTTAATACCTAGTAATATTAACTAAAGTGTACATATAACAATGGCTAGACAAACTGAACTAATCTAAGGGGCACAAATCACTTATCTCTGCATACTTCTCCTCCCCCCACTCACCATCAAGTGAACCTTCAACATAATATCTAAGATACCAAGTTTAACAATTAATTCCATTCCCCTAAATGCTTGCCACCTTCTTTAGTTCCTCAGATCTCCTCTTCACAGTGAAGAGTAACTTCCCTGTTTAAAGCAGCAGCAATGCCTCTGCCCCTCCAAAACACATTCCCTCTTCCTGGCTTTATTTTCCCTTGTAGCACTTTCACCATCTGACATACTAACTATATAGATGGCTTTTTGTCTGGTTTCTCTACTGCTATAGGCACAGAATTTGGTACATAGGAGGCACTTAATAAATATATTGAATGAATGAATATTCTTGTCCTGATTATTCCATCAATTTGTTCTGAACTATTTAATCTGTGCATTAGTTGGATCTTGATCTTATAGATTACTTAGTTTTTGTGAGCAGCTCCAGGATAAGAAACAGTGCCAGAAAGAAAAAAAATTACAATCAGTGCACTTTTCACAATGGTTCAGAACCCCAGTACATACCTAATCAGCTTGGATTCCAATACCCAGCCTCCTTGACCCAAAACTGTGGGCTTTCCTGTTGAGCCTGCCTGTCTTTCCTCTCAAAGACAGCCTACACCTGTAGATACTCTGGTGCACTCTTAGAACCTTTGCTTAGTTTACTGGCTACCACCACCACCATCCTTGTTCCCAGTCTGTCCCCAATATCCTCACACTCACCATCAAGTCTTTCTCGATCTCTTCATAAACAGTTGATAATTTAATTTCCCTATCTTTCACAGACAGACACGCCTCATTGTGCTTCTTTCTCCAGGTCTGGAAGAATTTATCATCCAACTCTCGGTAGGCCACCATGAGGGTGCGAAGACCTTCGCTGGCAAAATCCTGGAAGATATTTKTGTGTACCAATTCTAGTCTAGGTTAATGCTGAGTTTAAAAAGTGAAAGATTGACCCCAGAAGCTCCATCTGCCTGCTAAGTAGGATTTAGTGGTTAGTACCATGGGATTAGTGCTTAGTTTAAGCAAAAAGCCACTCTTGAACTTCCTCAGCAAAATGTCCCAAGGATGGGGCCAGCATAAACTAAAATACTGAGAATAGTTCTAAGAGAGAAGGTTCTAACGTTTAGCTATAGTTTACCCAGAGTTAGCTATAATTTACTATGTGATTCTGGGGAAAACTAAGACTTCTAGTTTTTTTTATAAAATTGGGATAATAATTCACCTTCTACAGAGAGGCTAGTAATGACTGTGGCATGAAAATGAAGAGAAAGCTGGGCATGGGGCACACACCTGAAATTCCTGCAGCTCAGGAGGCTGAGGCAGGAGGATCATGAGTTCAAAGCCAGCCTCAGCAATTTAGTGAGGCCCTAAGCAACTTATTAACACCCTGTATCAAAATAAAATTTTAAAAGGGCTAGGAATGTGACTCAGTGGCAGAGCACCCTTGGGTTCAATCTCTGGTACCCCCCCCCCAAAAAAAGGAATAATAAAGTAAAAAGAAGGAGTTCTCATAAAAAACAATGGTGTTACTGTTCTTTTTCAAGCATACATTCATTTTAATTTTTCTTTCTTCTTTCCTTCCTCCACCAAGTACTCAATGGACATCTTACATAGCACATGCTTATGTATTTGTCTCCATCAGTTGATTAGCTACAGCCAGCTGTGTTAACAAGGCCACTGTTGAAATATTCTTAGGTGAGGTAGCATGTTTTTACTGTTTGGCCACTGTTATAGCCTGACTAACCATAGCTAAGCATCTGCAGGATGGTCATAAGGAAGGCTGGGTGAAAATATGGGTGGTTTAGGACAAAACTAATATACATGCAAGTGTGGGTTAGAAACAGATTTTTTGTAGGGAGAACTGCACATGAGCAATAATTCTAGATTATTGCCACTATAGTAAACTACAAAATAATTCATGTTGGCATTATAAAAGCAAAGGAAACATAATTTGAATTATAAGAATTCCATGTGTAATTCATGAGTGTTTGATGTTGACTTTCAGGTGAAATTAATAAAAAGCAATATATGTAAGGAATGTCAACTCTTAAACTTCTGTCCTGTTGGCAGCCTGAGAAGATCTCAGGACACTTGTGTTTTTTTTGTTTTGTTTTTGGTACTGGGGATTGAACCCAAGGGTACTTTACCACTGAGCTATATCCCTAGTCCTTTTCATTTTTTATTTTGAGATAGGGTCTTGCTAAGTTTCTGAGGGTCTCACTAAGTTGTTGATGCTGACTTTGAACTTGGTATCTTCCTGTCTTAGCCACTGGAATTACAGGCATTCACCAGTGCATCCAGCTCAGGAAATTTCTTAAGAAGGATATGATAGTGGCAGAAACTGATTTTGTATTGGATAAGGATAAAAGCACTTGACAAGCTTAATAAAACACTGACAGATTCAGTAATCCATTCAACTAATAATTTAGCACCATGCTTTAACATTACCTTTTTTATACCTTTATTTTATTTACTTATTCTTATGTGATGCTGAGGATCAATTCCAGGGTCTTGCACATGCTAGGTGAGTGCTCTACTGCTGAGCCACAACCCCAGCCCAACATTATCTTTTATCCCTATATATATGTTTTTCTTCTCTCTTAGTACTGGGGTGAACAAACCAGGGCCTGGGGCCAAATATTGTCTGCCCCCTGTTTTTTGTTTGTTTGTTTTTGTTTTTTTTTTCAGTTGTTGATGGACCTTTATTTTATTTATTTTTATGCGGTGCTGAGAATCAAACCCAGTGCCTTACACATGCTAGGCAAGTGCTCTACCACTGAGCCACAACCCCAGCCCTATAATCTATTTTTGTGTGATCTGTTTGCTGATCACTGGCTTAGAGGCCCTGGAGCTGTGCTTCTGCATGAGTGGGTTATTGAAGCTTGACTCTTATAGGTTTGGTATTAGTGGTTAGTATAGTGTAGTCAGGCATCACTGTAAGTGTCTATTAAGGTGGTAGTAGGAAGCATGTCAAAATATCTAAAACGGTTTTATGAGTTAAGTCTATGCTTAACTTTCTGAGGAAATGCAATTTGATTGTTTTCCAAAATGGCTATGCTATTTTACTTTTCCATCAGTGATGTATAAAGTTTACAGTTTCTCTAAACCCTTGTCAACTCTTATTATTGTCTACTCATCTTTTTTATTTTAGCCATTGTAGTGGGTATAAAGTGATATTTCATGTTTTTTATTTGCATTTCCTTAATGACTAAAGATGTTGAATGTCTTTTTTTAAAGTTTYTTTTAGTTGTTTTATTTATTTATATGCGGTGCTGAGAATCAAACCCAGTGCCTTACACATGCCAGACAAGTGTGCTATGCTACCACTGAGCCACAGCCCCAACACCTGTTGAACTTCTTTTAATATACTTATTGGATATCTTTTCTTTGACTTCTGGCTATATATTAATGTAGAGTCATCTTTAAATAGCCAAATCAAACAGAATTTTCTTCAATCTATTTATCTTATTTTATATATATAAAAATAAATATATATTTATATATATTTTCCCCTAATTATATATATACATATTTACACACACACACACACACACACACACACACACACATATATATATATATATATATATATATAAATAAATATATATTATTAGGGGAATAAGGAGAGAACAAAGGGCAGGATGGAGAGTGGTTCAGATTATATATATATATATATATATATATATATATATATATTCAGATTATATATATATTCCAAATATATATATTCAGATTATATATAATATATATATTATATAATATATTATAATATACATAACATAATATATATATAATCTGAAACACTCTCCATCTTGCTCTTTGTTCTCTCCTCATTCCCCTAATCTTTTGTACACCCATGCTTAGGTGTAGAGACCCCAGATGTATAGATCTGTTTTTCTTTTCTCATGCCAGTAGCTGGAACCAGTCTCTTCTTGATGTTACCAAATACTACAGGGCAGAAGAAGAAGAAGATAGGGAGAAAGGATGTGCCCTTGRGGATTGTAATCCTGTAGACAACAGAGGGAGATATCAAATAGCCTCCTCAGAATCTCAGGCYAGGTACTTTCTGCTCCTGTTTTCATCATGGCTTGTGGATAAGGCCTCCCATATCAGCAGGTCCTCTTCTGAAACAAACACCAGGTCTGACCATGGGACCTCTTAAAGGAGGACTACTCAGGAATCACTAAACAATTCTKATTACTTTAAGTGTTCCCATAAATACAATTCTTGTCATGCCTATGGGGTGCTGTCCCACTTAAGTCTTTGACATAGAAATTGGCAATATAGTCAGTAAAAATACCACAGAATGAGACAGTTTTAGTTTTCTGTGAACTAAAGAGACACAGATACCAGTATACACCCATAGAATGAAACAGAGTTCCTGAGCTGAGAGAATAAAAGCTATCCGTTGGCTCAGCAATGCCAAGGAAGCTGAAACTGCTATGTTCACTGTCCAGTATAGCCTAGCTACATCTACATATCACCTGGCTTTTGTTTCTATAAATTATAACCACTTCTGTGGGACTTGCAGAGAAGCAGTCTAGCTGCTGCTCCTCAGTTTGATCAGATGGCATAAAATTCATTTTTCCATTGTTTGTCTATTTTTTATGCAGGTGGGTAGCTGAATCTGGCCAGCTGTGATCCAAGTAGATTCCTTGGCTGCTGGTAACAACAGAAATACATTGACATGGGGACACATTTGTGGACATGTGTCCAGATGCACCATTCCTCTCCTGAAGTCTAAAGACTTACATCCAAATGTTCCATGGTCACTTTATTAAGGGCTACACAGGAACGATGAAGCAGCTCACAGATGATGGTGTCTGCTCCCTTGCAGAACAATATTACCCGATTTTCAGGAGTCCGCACTAAAGATAAATTAAGCAAAACAACCATTTAAGCCTATTGTTATAAGAAATTATCTGGGCCACTGAGGATTGGCAAGAGGCTATTTYCCATGACATTTGTTTGTGTTGCCTTTGGAGGCTAAGAACTCAATGAGTAGTCACATAGGATAAATGCTATGGTGAGGGCTGGTGAGAGCAACAAAGGCATCTATRGAAGGCGTTTAATATCACTTGTGGAAGACTGATGCAGAATGACATTTAGCTTATCAATTCCAAGTCTTAGACCAAATCCCAACTTAGTAAGGACAAAAGATGAAAAATGACCTTCTTTCTCTTCAGTCTGAGGCCAAACTGATRGAGGAAGCCAGATAGTATAAATTTTCCCATACAATCATTTTTCAGTATCCTAGGGTATTGGATACCCCCCCATCCTTGTGGATACCAAAATCCACAGATGCTTGATTCCCTTATATAGAATAACATAATGTTTGCATATAACCTACAAACATATTCATATATATATATATATATATATATATATTTTTTTTTTTTTGACAGGGAAGGTACTGGAGATTGAACTCAGGGGTACTCAACCACTGAGCCACATCCCCAGGCCTATTTTATATTTTATTTAGAAACAGGGTCTCACTGAGTTGCTTAGTGCCTTGCTTTTTCTGAGGCTCTCGATCTTCCTGATCTTCCTGCCTCAGCCTCCCGGGGAAGCTGGGATTACAGGTGTGGGCTACCATTCCCAGCACCTGTATACTTTAATCATCTCTAAATTATGATGCCTAATGCAATGTAGGTACTATATAAATAGTTATAATACTAAATTGTTTAGAGAATGTGACAAGAAAAAAGTCTGTACATCTTCAGTACAGACAGAACTTGTTTTTTTTTTTTTTTTTCTTTCTTTTTGGTGCGGAGATTGATTCTCAGGCCTTATTCATGAAAAGCACACTAAGTTACCAATAAACTATGCCCCCAATCCAGATGCAACTTTTTTTTTCAAATATTTTTAATCTATGGTTGTTTGAGTCTGATATGGAACCTAAGAGGGCTGACTGTATTATTTGCTTCCATTTCTTACACCATGTTCAGGCTTTATGAATTTATTCTATGTTCTTATTTGACTTTGAGGGTGCTGACAAGCCACTACTCAGAAACACTAGAGAAGGATTTATTAGTACATGGTAGTGAGCTCCTATACATGTATGAGAGAAAATTCAAAAGAGATAAGACAAAGTGGGAATTGGATGTGTGTTTATATTTGAGGCACTATACCTGTGAGAAGACACATGAGTGGGAGAAGACATCTGTGTGTAGATGAAAGAGAAAGTCAATTGTGAATATGTATAAAGGGGAGAGAGAGAGAGCGCTAGAGAGAGYGAGCACGAGCGCGCTGACTAGAAGGGACACCCACCAATAACAGACATCCTCTTGCGCACATTGTTGAAGTCCAAAATAGCCAGCAGCTGATAGACTCTGGTTTTTCCCATTTCGACCACTGTGATAGTCTCAGACGTACGGGAACGGAACACAAAGCCAAGGTTTCTGGCAGCAGTGACCAGGGCACCTTCATCTGGGGACTGAGCCTGGTACACCAGCTCACCTGACAGGAAAGAAGAGGGCAACTAGAGCCCACAGAGATGAGCTGCTGAAGTCCACCCAGAATTGACACTGTCTTCCAAGTGGCTTAAATAAAGATGGAGCCCAGGAGGGTACATCTTTCCTCAAACTTCTTGCACAAGTCTGGTGCTAAAAGGGCAGGTTGCATAAAACATGTCAATCTCTTTTCCTGTCCAATACTTCCAACTTGTTTCATAGACCTGAGTTAATATCACACAGGTAAATGATATTTGCAATGTATACAAACAAAACAGGCATTCCGTTCCAACTTTATGGGTAAAGATTGGTTCAGAGAACTTATTAAAAATGAGGTTCCTGGGCCCCACTCAAACGTACCGAATCCACAATCACAAAATTTGGAAGAAGGACCTAAGAAGTTGAATTTTTAATAAATCTCTTAGTGGATTCTCATGTATGTGGCATAAATTGCCGCAGAAGACTGGCCACACTTGGCTAAACACTGCTATGCAAGATAAAAGACAGATGATTTAGTAAGCAGTTTAAAATAAATGTGTAGATGCATATTATCACCTTTAACTCACCCTGAGAAGTTAAATGACTCACTCTGTTGAATCAGCTTTCAATCTGGTATTAATCAGGATATTTCTAGAACTCCTTTGTTAGACTATTATCACAACATGTATCTTTTTTTTGGCTATTTCTCATCTGAAGGTCAATTTGATTTTTAAAACAGGCATCATCAGAGTCTTATACTTGTGAACATGGAAGGTAAGGGGATAATTTTAGGTCAGACATAAKAAATATCTACTGGACAATTGAGGCCAAATATGCTTTAAATAATAGCATCTTGTTGCAATGGCAGACACAAAGAAACATGATGGGGAGGCTGCTATGGTCACAGGGCCAGGAGATAAGAAATTTGGATTCTTATCTCTACCCTTCAGGGTTTTTGTTGTTGGTGGTAGTGGGGATTGAATCTAGGGATGTCTTGCCATTGAGCTATATCCTCAGCTCTTTTTGTTTTGAGACAGGGTCTCAGTAAGTTGCTTAGGGCCTCTCTATAGTTTGCTGAGGCTGGCTTTGAACCTGTGATCCTCCCTTGGCTTCCCAAGTCGCTGRGATTACAGGTGTGCACATGCCACTGCACCTGGTTTATCTCTAACCTTCTGAACTATAGGATTTTAGGCAAGTAACTTAATCTCTTTTTAAAAATCAATTTCTTTTTTTTAATAATTGTTTTTGTAGTTGTAGATGGACAGCATGCCTTTATTTTGTTTATTTTTATGTGGTGCTAAGGATTGACATGCTAGGCAAATGTTCTGCCACTGAGGCACAACYCAAGCCCACAATCTCTTTCAACTTTAGTTTCCTTCTCAGTAAGATTGGGATCATGTTTTCTGTTCTGCCTCAGAACAATAACCTCAGAGGGTTATTGTAAAGATCATAGAAGATAAATGAAAGCTATTTATAAAACTGTAAAGTAACATAAATATAGGGCATTACTGGTGGTAATATTAAGAGACTATTGACTTTAAAGTACACTATTCATTTGGTTGTGTACATTCGCTCTCTCTCTCTCTTTTTTAAGTATGGAGATTGAACCCAGCGGCACTTTACCACTGAGCCACATCCCAACCCCTTTTTCTTTTTTTGAGACAGGGTATTGCTGAGTTGCTGAGGATCTCACTAAGTTGCTGAGGCTGGCCTCAAACTTGGGATCCTCCTCCCAAGTCACTGGGATTATAGGTGTGCACCACCACACCCAGCTATATTTTTTCTTGTTAAGAAAAAAATCTTAATTTATAATCATTAATTTCTCACTCATTGTTTTTTGAAAAATTTTGGATAAATTAATCAATGATTTTGCTACATTTGGTTACTGAAATAACTAAGATAAACTAGATGTGGTAGTATACACATCTGCAATCCCAGCTACTGGTTAGGCTGAGGCAGAATGATAACATTCAACTGTCAGCCTGGGTAACAATATAGCAAGACCCTGTGTCAACAACAGCAGCCAAAAAAGAAAAAGAAAATAAGAGGACAACTAAACTCATTATTTAGAAAGTCTTGTCAGAGATTGTAGGATTACTCTTGGGGACAATTCAGAAGTTCCCTAAATGGCATTAAGTGTGAAACCTGTTCAATGACTGAATCTTTCTTTAAACCAAGAGGTATCCAACTGAGCATGGTGGTGCACGCCTATAATCTCAGCAGCTCAGGAGGCTGAGGCAGGAGGATCACAAGTTCAAGGCCTGCCTCAGCAATTTAGCAATTTTGTCTCAAAATGAAAAATTTAAAAAAGGGCTGGGGATGTGGCTGAGTGGTTAAGCACCCCTGGGTTTAATCCCTGGTACCAAAGAAACAAACGAAAATCCCCCAAAACCAAGAGGTGGTTTCTTATTTGAGTATCTCCCAGCTAATTACTTGTCTTCTACATGTTCTAGGACAATACTCCCTGTTGGAAAGTTCTTTTTCAGATTAAGCCATACAAATCATATCAAACCACCTCACCTCCAACCCACCTACACTATGACACATTCTCAGTCCATGAAGCCTCAGGCCTCCCTCACCTTCTACTTTCTCTTGTGACATCACAGTATGACATAATGAGAGGGAGAGGAAAAACAAGTGCACCCGGTAATCTCCTTTTTTTACTGCTTCCACCAAAGTCTTGTCATTAAATGGAAAGGCAGGACCGGCCAGCTTTTTGAAGTTATCTTTTTCTTTCTGGAACATATAAGCCAGAACAAAGCTGTCAATAGCTTGACATTTTATAGATCAACTTGGGGGTAGTTTCTGGAATGTGATGAGAACTCTTGAGAAGGGAAAAGCAAGATAAATACTGTGCTGGTTTCTCAGGTACTTATAGCTCTCACCTGAACCATCCAGTTGCTTGGGCCACAAGAGATCCTTCCCACAGGAGACAAGCTGAGCACTACCTGGCAGACTCTTTTTTTTTTTAAATTTTTTAAATTTTTTTATTTGTTGTTTTTAGATATACATGACAGTAGAGTATATTTTGACATATTATACATACATGGAGTACAACTCCAATCAGAATTCCATTCTTGTGGTTGTACATAATACACACTAGTCCATGTATTCATTTAGGAGCAAAGGAAAGTTATTTCGGATTAATTCTGTCTTTCCTATTTATAACCCCTCCTCCCTTCCATTCATTTCCCTTTATCTAATCCAATGAATCTATTCCTCCCCTCCCTACCCTCCCTTGTTGTGGGTTAGTATCCACATATCAGAGAGAACATTCAGCCTTTGGGTTTTGTTTGGGTTTTTTTTTTTTTTTGAGACTGGCTTATTTCACTTAGCATGATATTTTCCCAGTTCCATCTGTTTGAGAGCAAATGCCATAATTTCATTTTTTATGGCTGAGTAATAATTCCATTATGTATATGAACCACATTTTCTTTATCCATTCATCTGGTTCCATAGCTTGGCTATTGTAAATTGAGCTGTTATAATTATGTGGCTGCATCACTGTCCTTTAAGTATAAACTGAGGAGTGGGCCATTGGATCAAATGGTGGTTCCATTAAAAGTTTTCTAAGGAATTTCCATACTGCTTTCTAGAGTGGATGCACCAATTTGTAGTCCCACCAGCAATGCATCAGTGAACCTTTTTCCCCACATCCACACCAATGTATCCTTAGTAATTGCCATTCTGACTGGAGTGAGATGAAATCTCAATGTAGTAATGTAGTTTTAATTGGCATTTCTCTAATTGCCATTCTGACTGGAGTGAGATGGAATCTCAATGTAGTAATGTAGTTTTAATTGGCATTGCTCTAATTGCTTCTTCTGTGCAGTGCCTATTCAGTTTCTTTGCCCATTTATTGATTGGGTTATTTGTTTGGTGTTGAGTTCTATGTATATCCTGGAGATTAATTATGCTCTAGCTGAGGTGCAGAGAGCAAAGATTTTTCCCATAGGTTCTCTCTTCACGTCTTTGTTTCCTTTATTGTGAAATTTTTTAGTTTGATACCATCCCATTAACTGATTCTTGATTTTACTTTTGGTGTTTTTGGAGTCTTGAGGAAAGTTGAGCCAACATAATCGAGAGTTGGGCCTATATTTTCTTCTGGTGTGCACAGGGTCATTGGTCTAAGGCTTAGGTCCTTGATCCATGAGTTGATTTTTGTGCAGGGTGAGAGGGGTTGAATTTCATTCTGCCATATATGGATTTCCAGTTTTTCCAGCACCACCTGTTGAAGAGGCTATCTTTTCTGCAATGTATGTTTATGGTGCCTTTGTCTAGGATGAAATAACTGTATGTGGTACCCACCTGTGACACTACTAGAGTGGTCTTTTACTCAGTACTGACACATGGGGACTTAGATCTCCCCTTGGGAACGATCCCCAGCATTCCCATGTGTAGACTGCCCAAGATGTGAGATTTCTGCCCTCGCTCTACCAATGGGACAGCTCTCATAGCTCTGGACTTGGGCGTTTCCATTAGGCTTGGACAGCCCACCTCCTACCTTATTTGGCAAAAGAACATTCCATTGAATTCCTTTTGAAGCCCCCTTGTATAAATAAAGTGGGTTCTTGTGCTCTCTCTCTTTCCAGTGTGGAAGCTTGGCCCATAAGGTCATAGAGCAGTTCTGCCTCCGCTTTCTAAAAAATTACTTCCCTATTGTGTGGTCTTTTCACCGCCAGCCTTCGCCACACAGAGGAACTGTTTCCACTGCCTGAGTAGGACGTGAGCGACTGTATTTATGTGGTTTGTCTCTGTGTCTTCTTTTCTGTTAATATAACTCTGTAGCATAATTTAAGGTCTGGTATTGTGATGCCTCCTGTTTTGCTTTTCTCGCTAAGGATTGCTTTGGTTATTCTGGGCCTCTTATTATTCCAAATGAATTTCATGATTGTTTTTTCTATTTCTGTGAAGAACATCATCAGAACATTAATAGAAATTGCATTAAATATGTATAGCACTTTTGGTAGTATGGCCATTTTGACAATATTAATTCTGCTATCCAAGAACATGGGAGATCTTTCCATCTTCTAAAATCTTCTTCCATTTCTTTCTTTAATGTCCTGTAGTTTTCATTGTAGAGGTCTTTCACCTCTTTCATTAGATTGATTCCCAAGTTTTTAATTTTTTTTGAGGCATTATGAATGGGATAGTTTTCCTAAATTTCTCTTTCAGCTGCTTCGTCATTGGTATATAGGAACACAATTGATTTATGGGTGTTAATTTTATACCCTGCTACTTTGCTGAATTTGTTTATGAGTTCAAGAAGATTTCTAATGGATTTTTTTTGTTTTCTCAATATAGAATCATGTCATCAGCAAATAGGGATAGTTTGAGCTCTTCTTTTCCTATCTGCATCTCTGGATTGAACCCCACTTGATTRGTGCATTGTCTTTTTAATTTCTTTGTCTAATTGCTCTGGCTAGGGTTTTAAGGACTCTGTTGAATAGAAGTGGTGAAAGTGGGCATATTATGTGTCTTGTTCCAGTTTTAAGAGGGAATGCTTTCAATTTTCAACCATTTAGAATGATGTTGGCCTTGGGTTTAACACATATAGATTTTACAATGTTGATGTATGTTCCTATCATCCCTAGTTTTTCTAATGTTTTGAGCATGAATGGATGTTGAATTTTGTCAAATGCTTTTTCTACTTCTATCAAGATAATCATGTGATTCTTGTCTTTAACTTGACTGATGTGATGAATTACATTATTGATTTCTGTATGTTGAACCAACCTTGCATCCCTGGATTTGAACCCCACTTGATTGGTGCATTGTCTTTTTAATGTTTTTGTATGTGATTTGCTAGTATTTTGTTAAGAATTTTTGCATCTATTTTCTTGAGGGATATTAGTTTCAAGTTTTCTTTCATTAATGTGTCTTTTTGGTAACAATGTGATACTAGCAGTGTGATACTCATAGAATGAGTTTGGAAGGGTTCCCTTCTTTTCTATATTGTGGAATAATGGGAGGACTATTGGTATAATTTCCTCATTGAAGGTCTGGTAGAACTCAGCTGAGAATCCATCTGGTCCTGGGCTTTTCTTTGTTGGTAGGCTTTAGATGGCATCTTCATTGCTTGAAATTGATCTGTTTAAATTTTTTATGTCTCTTGATTCAATTTGGATAGGTCATATGTCTCTAGAAATATGTGGATGTCTTCATGATTTTCTCTTTTTTTGGAGTATACGTTTTCAAAGTAGTTTGATTATTGTCTGTATTTCAATAGTGTCCATGATGATATTTCCTTTTTCATCACAAATATTAGTAATGTGCATTTTCTCTTTCTTCATTAGCCTGGCTAAGGGTTTATCCATTTTATTGATTTTTTCAAAGAATCAACTTTTTGTTTCATTGATTTTTTGGAATTTTTTTCTGTGTGTGTGTGTTTCAATTTCATTGATTTTTAGCTCTGATTTTAATTATTTTCTGTCTTCTGCTTTCTTGATTTGTTCTTCTTTTTCTAGGGCTTTGAGATGTAATGTTAGGTTATTTATTTGGTGACTTTCTATTCTTTTAAATAATGTGCTCAGTGCAATGGATTTTCCTCTTAGAACTGCCTTCATAGTGTCCCAGAGATTTTGATAACTTGTGTTGCTATTCTCATTACCTCTAAGTATTTTTTTAAAATTTCATCTCTGATTTCTTCTTCAATCCATTGGTCATTCAATAGTGCATTTTTTAGTCTCCAGGTGGCTTTTATTTTTTATTTTATTGTTGATTTCTAATTTCATTTCATTATGATCTGAAAGAATGCAAGAAATTATCTCTATTTTTTTGTATTTGCTAAGAGTTGCTTTGTGGCCTAAGGTATGGTCTGTTTTAGAGAAGGATCCATGTGTGGCTGAGAAAAAAGTATATTTAGTCATTGAGGGATGAAAAATTTTATATATGTCTGTTAAGTCTAAATTATTGTGTTTTTCAGTTATATAGCTTCTTTAGTTTATGTTTGGAGGATCTATCTAGTGATGAGAGAGGTGTGTTGATGTCATCCAGTATTATTGTGTTGTGGTCTACTCAACTCTTAAAATTCAGAAGGGTTTGTTTGATGTACTTAGGTGCTACTCTGTTTGGATTATAAAATTTACGATTTTTCAAAACTACCCTAAGATACCATCTCACTCCAGTAAGATTKGCAGCCATCAGGAAGTCAAACAATAACAAGTGCTGGAGAGGATGTGGGGAAAAGGGTACTCTTGTACATTGCTGGTGGGACTGCAAATTGGTTCAGCCAATTTGGAAAGCAGTATGGAGATTCCTGGGAAAGCTGGGAATGGAACCACCATTTGACCCAGTTATTGCCCTTCTTGGTCTATTCCCTGAAGACCTTAAGAGAGCGTACTACAGGGATACTGCCACATCGATGTTCATAGCAGCACAATTCACAATAGCTAGACTGTGGAACCAACCCAGATGCCCTTCAATGGATGAATGGATTAAAAAAATGTGGCAGTTATACACCATGGAGTATTACGCAGCTCTAAAAATGACAAATTCATGGAATTTGCAGGGAAATGGATGGCACTAGAGCAGATTATGCTTAGTGAAGCCAGCCAATCCCTAAAAAACAAATACCAAATGTCTTCTTTGATATAATGAGAGCAACTAAGAATAGAGCAGGGAGAAAGAGCAGGAAGAAAAGATTGATATTAAACAGAGACACGAGATGGGAGGGAAAGAGAGAGAAAAGGGGAATTGCATGGAAATGGAAAGAGACCCTCATTGTTATAAAAAACTACATAAAAGAGGTTGTGAGGGGAATTGGAAGAAAAAACAAGGAGAGAAATGAATTACAGTAGATGGGATAGAGAGAGACGATGGGAGGGGAGGGGAGGGGGGATAGTAGAGGATAGGAAAGGTAGCAGAATACAACAGTTACTAATAGGGCATTATGTAAAAAGGTGAATGTGTAACTGATGTGATTCTGCAATCTGTATTTGGGGTAAAAATGGGAGTTCATAACTCACTTGAAACTAATGTCTGAAATATGATATGTCAAGAGCCGTGTAAGATTTTGAACAACCAATAAAAAAAAATTTACGATTTTTATGTTTTGTTGATGTATAATTCTCTTAAGGGGTAGGAAATGACCTTCTTAGTCCCTTCTGATTAACTTTGGCTCAAAGTCCACTTTATCTGATATGAGGATAGAAACCTCTGCTTGTTTATGAGATCCAGGTGAATGATATATATTTTTTCCTCATCTTTTCACCTTTAGTCTACAGGTGTCTTTGCTTATGAGGCAAGTCTCTTGGAGACAGCATATTGCTGGGTCTTATTTCTAATCCAWTCATGGCAGACCCTTCTTGTTCCACTTTTACCCCAAATATTCTGAATGACTTACAGCTATCTTTAAACTACTCTTTGAACTCTCAAATCTTATCCGATAATCAAACCTGAGGATGTGAGGAGGTAAACACTCCCTATTCTTTTTTTTAAATTATATATTTTTTGTTATCTATGGGCCTTTAATTTATTTAAAGTGCAGTGCTGAGAATTGAATCCAATGCCTCACACACAAGGCAAGCCCTCTACCACTGAGCTACAACCCCAGCCCAACATTCCCTATTCTTAAGTGATGTTTGGGGAGAGTCTTGTTTCTCATTGTCTTCTGCCTGACTGGGGAGCTGAGAAGGGAACAGAGTTCAGCTTCCAAGTACAGTGGCATCACTGTGTTGCACTATTYTTGCCCCACAGGACAAAAGAGGGCTAGAAACAGTAGATGACAGTCCAAATGAACCACTTCTCAGTTGCCAGTCTTTGCTCATATTAAAAACAACTTACAAATGATTAGCTTTTGTATCTAATCTCTGATTATTAAAATGTTTATAAAGTTTATTTTTGCCAAAGAGATGCAATTCATTATGATAAAGTATTACAGAATAAACCTTATTTTGTAACATTTAAAAAAATAGGAATAGAAAGGAATATTGCAAGACAAAGATAAGGTCTCATGACAAAGAATCTGCAGTACATGATTGTTCACAGACTTAATTTTGCTTTCACTTATCAATATACCTGGTCCTTCCTGTCTCTGACTCTCAAATATCTTAGGGATTATAGTATGCARAGTATGAAAGAAATGGAGGAAAATGGATATGTTCTCAGTGAAAGTCATGTTTTAATTTAGACAGGGAGAAGTGAGCCTTTTTATGAAGAGATTGAAATAGCAATTAAGTTTGTTTATAAGAAAAGAAATTCCAGTGATATACAGCAAAGTGTTCTATGATTAATCAGTAGTGAAAGGAAGAAGAAAGAGAAAGAAACTCCAGGGAGAATTTAATACCTAGAAAGTATAACTTTGTTTACACAGTCAAGGTTGCCAAGAAAGCTCCTGAAAAACTATTTATGAAAAGAAGTGATTTTCCTTCCCCTTCCCAATCTCTTTGGATGGGTAGGTAAGGTGAACATTGAGAGTAGAGCCAGCTGTAAGTAAGTCAAATGGTTAAGGTTTGGGGTTGGATCTCTATCAGGACAGGGATACAGTAAGGAGTAACCTGGAGGCAAGGGAGAAAGCCCTGTGCAGGAATGCTTAAAACAACCCATACACAAAAGCTGACGTCCAATGCTGCAGAAAATAGTAAAAATGAATAGCTAGAGATAGGAAGAGTGCATAAGAAGATTATTTTTATAATTGTATGCGTAAGGACTGTTGAGTTTGTCATGAATCCTAGAAGAAAAAAGATTTCAGATTTGATTACATAAGTTTAAAACTTCTACACAGAAAAAATTATTTAAAAAACCAAACACCATAAAAAATGTGGCATATATACACAATGGAATTTACTCAGCAATAAAAGAGAATAAAATCATGGCATTTGCAGGTAAATGGATGGAGTTGGAGAAGAAAATGCTAAGCAAAGTTAGCCAATCCCCAAAAAACAAATGCCGAATGTTTTCTCTAATATAAGGAGGCTGACTCATAGTAGGGTAGGGAGAGGGAGCATGGGAGAAATAGAATAGAGACTAGCTCTAGATAGGGAAAAGGGGTGGGAGGGGAAGGGAGGAGGACAAGGGGTTAGCAATGATGGTAGAATGTGAATGACATCATTATCCAAAGTACATGTATGAAGACATGAATTGGTGTGAACATACTTTATATACAGAGATATGAAAAATTGTGCTATATATGTGTAATAAGAATTGCAATGCATTCCGCTGTCATGTAGTTAAAAAATAAAATTAATTAAAAAAAGAAGAACCAAACACCAAAAGACAAAATGGAAAAAATTAAAGAGTTGTTTTTTACTATATGAAGAGCTCTTTAAATAAGAAAAAAAAGGGCAAAGAACAAGTGTAAGTAGGCAATAAAGAGATTTGTAAGGGGAAAGAAAATAAGCACATAAGAAAAATTCAACCTCATTAGAAACCAAAGCAAGGTAAATTAAGAATGCAATATTTCAGGAGAGTGGGATGGGAAGAGGTTGATCAATGGGTAAGTTACTGTTAGGTAGGATCAAGAAGTTGTGGGRCTGGGGATATAGCTCAGTTGGTAGAGTGCTTGCCTCATATGYACAAAGTCTTGGGTTCAATCCCTAGCATCACACACACAAAAAAAGAAGTTGTGGTATGCTATTATACAGAAGGGTAAYGATACATAATAATAATGTACTTTATATTAAAAAAAAAACTAAGAAAAGAATTTTTAATATTTTTACCAGAAAGAAATAATGTTTGAGTAGATATGTTTACCCTGATATGAATATTACAGTTTATATATGTGTATATACATATATCAAAACATCACAATATTCTATAAATAAGTATACTTTTAATGTTTTTCTTTATAGTTAAAAATTAATTTCAAAATGAAATATTATTTTTCACCCAATTAAATTTCCACAGATTAAAAAAAACTGTTACGACCCAGTACTAACAAAAATATGGGGGAAAAAGAATTGTCATATATTTTGGGGGGTATGTATGTGATACAAATCTGTTTGGAGGGCAATATAACACAATTAAATGTATTAAAAATAGGGCTACTCTTTGACCAACCAATTTTACTTCTGGGGATTTATTCTAAGAAAGCATAACTATATAATAATGTATATACCAGGTGCTTAACAAAATTCTATTGTAATAGCAAAATGGAAAAAAATAGGGATTGGTTATATTAAAGTACACTAATACAACTGGATACTTATTACATACCCCTTAAAAATAATAAACCATGGGCTGGGGTTGTAGCTCAGTGGTGGAGCACTTGCTTAGCATGTGAGGTACTGGGTTGAATTCTCAGCACCACATATCAATTAATAAATACAATAAAGGTCTATCAACAATTAAAAAAAATTTAAAAGAAAAAATAATAAACCTATATCTGCTGAGATTGAAAGATGACCTCACTAGAGTTTCAGGTGAACAAAGAGAAGGTGAAAATAGCATTCTATCTATATATCTAGCTATCTAGCTATTTGTCAGGAAAACCCCACAAATTTTACATTGGTCACCAAAATTGGATTGAATAGTGTTAACTTTCTTCTTCACATATTTCTATATTATTTGAATTWTTTTTACAATGAGCACAAATTCTTTTTTTTTTTTTTTAAAGAGGAAAAGACAACATAGCTATTTTCATTAAAACCCCCAAATTCCCTCAGATAAACATAGACCATTTACATAAGGGTTTCTGATATTTTGAGGCTAGTAAAAGCTTTAATATTTCGGGGACTGAGTTCCCTTTGTATTAGAGATGCTTCCACGTGGCACAGTCTCACCCAGCTCCCAAATGCGTTTCCCAGAAAGCTGTAATCACTCACCTCAGGTAGTGACTCCCTTAGTTCCTCCTTGTTACAGGAATTACCTATTGGTAAGCAAACAGAGTAGAGACTTGGCATGGGGTTTAAAGGAGGGTTTAATTTTAATTGTGGTAAAATACATATAACACAAAAGCTGCCATATTAACTGTAAAATTCAGTGGCATTAACTACATTTACAATGTTGCACAACTATCACCACTATTCCAAACAGAAACTTCCTATTCCTCCCCATCCCTCTCTAGTAACCTCTATTCTACTTTCTATTTCTATGAATTTTCCAATTTTCTGTATTTCATAGAAGTAGAACTCTGCTTTTTATATCTGGCTTTTCACTTTGCATAATGTTTTTTTTTTATATCGGGCTTTTCAAGGTTCATCTATGTTGTATCATGTATCAAACTTTATTAATTTTTATGGCTGAAATAATATTCCTTTGAATTTATATACTTTTAAAAAACCATTCATCTGTTGATGGYCACATGAATTATTTTCACCTTTGGGCTATTGAAAATAATGTTGCAATGACTATTTGTGTATATCTGTTTGAGTCCTTGTTTCATTTTGTGGGGGATACCTAGGAATGGAATTGCTGAGTCAATGATAATTTAAAGGAGTGTTTTTAAAAACATTTCTTTTGATTCTTCATCTTAGGTTTGTAGTCAAGTTGCCTCGAATCCCCTCAGGCCACCTAACCCTCAGTGCCCCTAGTAAGCTCCTTTCCCTAAACCAAAGACAAGAAGAAGTCTTCTGATTGGGCCACACTCAGCTCTTTTCCCTTAAGACTCAAGGCCAGGCTAGAGGTTAGTCATTGTATCTTTTGAGAGACTTCCAAACTTAGGAAGCCACTCAATCGAAAAGTTACCTAGAAGAGGAGTGGAATTAATTACAGAGTGTTTAGGATTCTTGACCAGTGGATGGTACAGACAGATGAATGGAGGACAACCTGATGCCAAGTACAGAAATGATCCTTTCAACCTTACCCAGTGCATTCAGGTTGGAAAATGAGCCAGAGAATTATCATCCTCACCTAAATCAACTCATCAAAAAATTAGCCTTCAGAGTTTATACAAATAAAAGCTTGGTTTAAAATAGTAATAGAAAAATATCAGAATGTTCTTTTTTTAATTTAAAATTTTTAATTTTTTATTGAGGTGAAATCCACACAACATATAATGAACAGTTTTAAAGTGTACAGTTTAGGAGCATTTGATACATTCACAATGTTGTGTAGCTACCACCTCTCTCAAGTTCAAAACTTTTTCATCACTCCAGAAGACAATCCCATGTGCTCTAGCTTTTCAGGTGTGATTACCTCCTTCTGCTGTCTAGGGCAGGAGGCATGAATGTTCACACACATGAGGATTTAATTCTCACAAAAACAAGGTTATGTTTAAGGCATACAATAAATGAAGGACTAGCCATGGAAGACACTAATCAAACCGATAGCTTCTTTCAGTACTGTCTGTGGGTTTATTTTGTTCTTTCTAGATATACATGATGATAGAGTGTATTTTGCACATTATTCATGTATAGAATAAGTATAACTTGTTCCAATTAGGACCCTGTTACTTTGGTGATATATGATGTGTATTCATATACAAGAATAAGAAAGATATGTGTGATTCATTTTTCTCTCTTCTATTCCCATCCTCTTTCCCTTCCCTTCATTCCCCTTTGTCTATTTGTTGATCTAAAGGGGAATCAGGATTAGAGGCTTCAATACTATACTGTTTTATCTGATTTATTTTTACTTATGGTTAATTTTTTTCTTTTAAATTTATTTATTTGTTCTAATTAGTTATTTATGGTTATTTTTTAAATTGACAATTATTTAGGTATATTTATGGATAAAATGTGATGTTTTCATATATGTATACACTGTGAAATGATTGTCAAGTTAATTAACATGTCAAATTAATTATCACTTCCCATGTAATAATATTTGAAATATATTCTTTKAGCAATTTTGAAATATATAATATACTATTGCTAATTATAGTCATTGTGCTCTGTAGTAGATCAAAAACTTATTCTTTCTATCTCACTGAAAATTTGTAGCCATTAACCAACACCCACCTGATTTAATAGCCAATGAACTGAGTATATTGTTTTTCCTCAGTACATTGTGAATTCCTTGAGGACAGAGACTAAGTCTCGCACATTTTGGTATTCTCAGTGTCCACACAATGGACTCCATCTACAAGGTACTAAATTTGCACTTTTTGGTTGGAACTGAGTGGGCTGGGTGTTTTTTGCTTAGTGAATAGAAAGGACTATGAGAATAGTAGGTAAATGTGAATTTCAGAAGCTCATAGATTTAAAGCTAGTTTACTCTTTTTCCCCCACCATGGGAGAAAAACATGACACATTTATTTGATAATAGTTTTATATGATAAAGACACTCTCAGATCAAAAATGCAAGACCCTGGATGAATAATTAAGGATCTGAACTAATGGCAATAGATTTGAATGGGGAAACCTAGCAAGGTYTGTCTGTTCAGATTCTTCCTGGCTACTCAGTTGTGGCCTTTCTTCCTCCTGGGTGTAGTATAGGATCCCTCTGGAATAAGGGTCTTAATTTTTTTATGGTCAGTATAACTAGTTTACTCTTAAACTAGCAAAGCAGAATTTTTCTAGGACTCAGGAAAGCAGGAAGGCATACGTACCATAGACCTTTCCATTGATAGAACACTTGTTGAAAATCATGATGTTCTGAGTCAATGTCCCTGTTTTATCAGAGAACAAATATTTGACCTGGCCAAGCTCCTCACTTAGTGTGGTAGTGCGAGCCTGTGCTGGGGTATTCTTTGGTTGATAAAACATATTCCGATCCCAATTGATATAAAAACTGTTGCCTAGTCTTATTATTTCAACACTAAGGAGAAAGCAAGAAAAGAAAGGTCTTGGTCAGAGCATGACAAATACATTATCTTGGTTTCTTCTTACTGGTCCCATGGCAGGTCAGGAGCCAGCATCTGAAAATCAGAGCATCTTCTCTAGGAACCTGCCCTCCTGAAGGAACTTTCTTAGCAAGCAGCACATCAAAACTGACCTTGAGGGCTGGGGTGGCTGCTCAATGGTAGAGTGCTCGTCTAGCATGTGTGAGGCACTGGGTTCAATCCTCAGCACCACATAAAAATAAAATAAAGATACTGTATCCACCTACAATTAAAAAATAAATATTAAAAAAAAACTGACCTTGACTATCACCATGAAAGGCTTTACCACCTAGATCCAGATATACCTGATTAACTTGTCTGAGTTGCACTYCCCTTTCACTTTTTCTAAAATGCATCCAGGAAAAGTCACAAATTTTTAACTTTTGGAATATTATTTGACTTATAAAAGGCTAAGTTGACCTAATTAAAAGATTAATTCTGCTATATTGTGGAGAAGAGAGAGAAACCTGTCATACCCAGAGTTTCATTGTTTCAGAAGAAGARAAGAAGCTGTGAAAACCAGAAATGGCTTATGGGCTGACCTGAAAAATTCCTAGGCAGTCAGCCTGCCTGTGGGGTGCCTTTTCCCTAATGGCCTCTCTGTTTCTATCAATTTCCATGTTGCCTTTGTCACATTTGTTCTTCTGCTGCAAATAACATGCATTATAGATATTTTATGGTCAATAACATTTTCATTTTAAAACTATGAAGATTTTTAAGGGACCTCCTTGTTGTCATCATTCATACTTAATGTATGTTAAACTGATTTATCAGTGACCCCTGTCTGAGACAGCAGCATTGAAAAGCCTGAGTCTTTTTCTTTGAGCTGAAGAAAGAATTATTCARATTCTCATGGGTGACTCTTTATTGATGATCCTCATGCTTGGAGTCATACTTGACCCCTTCTAGGCTTTTACCAGCCACATCAGTCTTTCTAAACCCGAATATTTAATCACATTCTTTCTTTCATTAGAAAAATCTTGGCTGGTTCCTTACTGCTTTTAGGATAAAATTCAAACTCTTTGATCTGGAATTTAAGGCTTTTCTGGATCTGACTTGAAATTATCAATCGATACCTTAGTTTAGCTTTTAAAAACCTCTACACCTTTTGTACATGCTGAACTTTCTGCTTGCAATGTTCTTTMTCTGTTTTTCCAAATATCAGTTTGATTATTACCTTTTCTGAAAATCTTCCTCACCTCTACAGATAGAATTTATCTATTCCTTCTCAAGGCTCCTATAGCACTTAAATATTTCAGTTCCATCATTTTTTTCATATTATACCATAATTCTTTATTTATGTGTGTGTTTCCATGGCTACACTGCAAGCTCTAGGGAAAGGGATGGCTCCTTATTCATGTTTCTAGCTCTAATACCTAGATTATTGCTTGGCACATAGTAGGTGTTCAATAAATATTTATTAAACAAGGCAATGCTTTTGGAGGCTGGGATGTCATACTGACGGCCTTAGGAAAGGAGGAAACTAAAACACATTTGGGTCTCTGTATGTGCAAAGGAATGCTTAACTAAGAAAAGTAATACCAAAGTATGGTGAAGACTTGTTTCATCTATTTCAAATTTTTGTCCAAGGTGCTTATTAAAAAAGGGAAGAGGGGCTGGGATTGTGGCTCAGTTGTAGTAAAGTGCTCACCTAGCATGTGTGGGGCCATGGGTTCGATCCTCAGGGCCACATAAAAAGAAATGAATGGAACAAAGGTATTGTGTCCAACTACAACTAAAAAAATAAATATGTATTTTTTTAAAAAAGAGGAGGAGGGCTGGGGTTGTGGCTCAGTGGTAGAGTGTTTGCATAGCATGTGTGAAGCCTTGAGTTCAAGTCTCAGCACCACGTACCAATAAGTAAAATAAAGGTCTATTAGGAACTAAAAAACCATTAAAAGAAAAAAAAAGGGGGAGGAAACACCCTTCCTCTTCTCCAACTTTTAGGGACTGAACTTAGATCATAACCACACCTTTCTACCATTTGCCATCTTGTTTCTATGGGAAAATATACTCTTGAGTACTAAGTGACTGACATATGAATGAATGTTTAGATCCTATCTCATTGGTAATAGACGCTGCCTGGCCTGGCTTCAGCATCACAAAATTTGTGTCTTTTTTTAAATTGTTTCATATGTTTGTATTTCTTTTTTAGTCACTTGCAGCTTATTTGAGGGCAGAGATAGTTTTCTTTTTGTACAGACCATGTAGTATCTAGCTCAGTATTCTAGACATGGAAGGCATTATGTACTCTCCATATGTCTCTCAGAATGTTTTATATACCATGCATGTGGAAAGTAAAGAGTAAATAGCATGTAGTATATTCTTTCTATAAGTTCATGCTCTAGTTGGAGAATTAAGCAGAAAGTATGAAGTCAACCCCTTTCCCTATAACCCCAAATGATCAAAGATACCTACCTTACATAAAGAGAAATGGGCACCATGGTGTTGAGAATAATGAAGTAGGACCAGAAAGTGAACATGGCAGAGATAACTGATGAAGAGATATAACTTTCCCATGGCATAAAAATCTGGAAGTGGTAGCCTTTCTTGGTCTCCCAAATACCATGCCCGATTGCTAGGATAATACACATGACACCTAAAATCAGGAAAATCTRTATAACAAAAGAAAATAAAAGAGATGAATTAAATGAACATTTCATCCAAGGTATATGCTGCTTCAGTTCAAACTTATGGAGCCTTATCTTTCAGTAAAATGTCTCTTTCCTTATAGGACAAGGAAGATCTATAGTTCATAGGCCCCAGGCATTAGTACACAAGACAGAAAAGAAAGTCCAGCATGAACCATCCTTGGGGTTTTGAAAATAAATTATATCAAGTACTACTTAATTTCTTTCTTCAATGTTCTATAGTTTTGATTGTGGAGGTTTTTCACCTCCTTCTTTAGATTTATTCTTAGGTATTTTATTTTATTTTTGAAATAAAAKAAAGCTATTTTGAATGGAATTATTTTCCTGACTTCTTTCTGAGCAGATTCATTGTTGATATATGGAAAAGCTATTAATTTGCATGTCGATTTTGTAACTGGCTAGTTTGCTGAATTTGTTTATTAGCTCTAGCAGTCTTTTGGTGAGATTTTTGGATCTTCTAAGTATGGGATCATATCATCTGAAAACAATGATAATTTGACTTCTTTTAAAGAAGAATGTTTTGTGGATCATTTTTTTGTGAGTGTGTCAGTTTTAAGTTATTTGCATTTAAAATCAATACTTTTTAATGGAAACAATTCGACTAAAAATGTATCACAGAATTTTGAGATCCATTAAAACAAAGTTTAATGAGAAAAAAATCCCTCAAGACTTTTTTTTTTTTGGGGGCGGGGAGCACTGAGAATTGAACTTGGGTGTTCTACCACTGAGCTACATCCCCAGGCCTTTTTATCTTTTAATTTTGAGACAGGATCTTGCTAAGTTGTCTAGGCTAGCCTAGAACTTGAACTTGTGATCTTCCTGCCTCAGCTGCCCGAATACCCAGAGTTGCTGGGATTACAGACATGTGCCAACATGCCCAGCTCATGCCCTTTATTTAAAATTATTTAACATTTAATTGTTAATGAACATGAACACACATGCAAAAATCATATAGTTGGGCACAGTGGTGCATGCCTGTAATCCCCGCTACTTGGGAGGTTGAGGTAGGAGGCTCCCAAGTTCAAGGCCAGCCTCAGAAACTCAGTGAGACCCTGTCTCAAAAAAACAAAACAAAAAAAGGGCTAGGGATGTAGTTTTGTTGTATTATCCCTCCACAAAAAGAAATCACAAACATGTAAGTTGATAAAATTTCCCAAAGTCATCACACTAATTAAACTAACAATCAGATGACATTTCCAGCATCCAGAACCCACTGTATGTCCCCCTTCTAGTCACTATCCCCCTAAATTTATACATACTTAAAGAATACAACTTGATATATAGGTACATAAGTATATATGTACATAATGTATATATATATATACACACACACACACACACACACATATATACACATATGCCTATGAAACCTTTACCCTACTCAAGGTAACAAAATACTGGCTAGTTTCCTGTGCCCTTTTATAATTCTTCCTTCCCACTTTTCTCTTCCTCTGATCCCCATACAACTTTAGATCAGTTTGGTTCTTTTTTTTTTTTTTTTTTCCGGCGGGAGGGCAGGTACTGGGTATTGATTCTAGGGGCTCTTTACCACTGAGCTACATTCCCAGCCCTTTTTACTTTTTGAGGCAGGGGCTCACCAAGTTGCTTAGGGTATTACTAATTTGCTAAGTCTGGTCTCAACTTGTGATTCTTCTGCCTCAGTCTCTCAAGTCACTGGGATTACAGGCATGTGCCACAACACCCAGCTCAGTTTTCTTTTTTAAGAATTTTATGTAAATGGAATCATATTAGCATGGCACTCTTTTTATTGGTCTGACTTCTTTTCACTCAGCAAAATGATTTTGGGATTCATCTATATTTTTGCATCTATCAATGGTTCATTTATATTGCTGAATAGTATTATTTTGTATAGCTAATGCACAATTTGTGTACTAATTTGCCTTTTATGGAACATTGGGGTTGTTTCCAGTTTTTGGCTATTACAAATAAAGCTGCAGTGAACACTTCTGAATAATCTTTTCAAAGACATAAGCTTTCATTTCCTTTGGAAATAACTTGGAGTGGAGTTAGTAAATCCTACAGTAAATTAATGTTTGACTTTTTAAGATACTGCCAAATGTTTTACTGAGCTTATACATAACACTTTACATCTCACCAGTACTGTATGCTCACATGCCTATAGAGAAGATATGCATGATATTATGTGAATGACCTCTAAGTCTACCCAGTGGTCTTCAAATTGGTGATTCTGGTCACAGGTTTAGATAGTTCAAGGCAACCCATTGGTAGATGATCAGAGGTCCTATCTGTGTACCACTGATGAGGAAATCTTTGAAGATAAGAATAGCAAGGCAGGTTGAAATAGAAACAGGTCTGACTGGGACCATTCTTAGAAACTGAGATTTTTTTAAAAAAACCTTTTATTGTGAAAAATTTCAAACATACATTAAAGTATATAAATAGTCAATGAACCCATGTGCCCAGAAAGCTTCTCTGAAGTGTTGGAAAAGATGCAAGCCATGCAGACTTGAGGGCAGACATTGCCAGCAAGGGTAAGCATCCTAAGGCAGGAACAAGTTTGCTCTCTCACTTGATTTGTTGTTTAATTGGAGATGTGTATATATATATATATATATATATATATACACACATATATGTATATATACATATATATACACATACATATACACACACACATATATATATATATATATATATATATATATATATATGTCAAATATCTAAGTCAAAGTCATTTTCACTAGGAACTGTGAAGGAATGTACCCTACTGGTTTCTAGGACCCAGTGCTGCATGAGAAGTCCCATGCCAATCTGGTTCTCTCTCTCCTCTCTCCTCTCTCTCTCTCTCTCTCTCTTTTTCTCCCACCCCCCCGGCCTCGTCCCCCTCTTTTTGTCACCATCTTATTTCTTATCCCTATGAAAACATATGAGGGACTCCTCCTTGCCCAACTCTTCTGTTTAGTCCTCTGTTAAAACAAACAAATCCTCTCATATTTTCTATCTCTTTGTTTTATGGTTCAGGGGAGTTTCCTGGCTCAATTTTAGCACGTTTTCTGGCTTTTTAACATTAATAGTCTTGTTTTTACTTTCTAAAATTCCTTTTTATAATTTCTTTTCTTTTAATCTTCCTTTTTTCTCCAAGCAACTTATTATTTCTTGTATGCAACGGCTGCTTCTCTCTAAAAATAGTCCAAAAATTTTTTTGAAAGTTCTTCTCYTTGAATTATAATCTGTTATAATAAGGGTCAGTTATTGGACCCTTATTCTTCTTTTTGTGCTACCAGGTTCCTCCAGTCCACTTAAAAATATGAACAAAAGTTCATAGTTTGGGGGCTGGGATTGTGGCTCAGTGGTACAGCGCTTGCCTAGCTCGTGTGAGGCGCTGGGGTTAATCCTCAGCACCACATAAAAATAAATAAATAAAGATAAATAATTAAAAAAAATAGTTTGATCCTTATAGGTTTCTGGTGTAGGTTTTGCTTTCTTTGGTAAATTTTGTCTCCCTAGTAGGGCATTCTCCTGAATGGAGAACCATGAATAGGAAGRTAGAACATATTGTTCCTAGGTACACAGGGAACTTTTAGGCACATTTGAACCTCCCTGATTTAAAATTAAGTGGGTTTTACTCTGAAGTATTGACACACTAGAAGCCGTAGTCCTTGGGATGTGGTTCAGGGATACAAGCAATTGCCTAGCACATGCAGGGCCCTRAGATCTCCAGTAGCACCAGACATAAAAAAACAAAAACAAGGACTGGGGCTGCAGCTCAGTGGTACAGCACATGCCTAGCATGTGTGAAGCACTGGGTTTGATCCTCAGCACCAGAAAATAAATATATAAAATAAAGGTATTGTGTCTATCTATAACTAAAAACAAACAAAAACCAAAATCTCTAGCCCTCTTCAGGTAGGTTGTTAAATTTCTTTCAAAAACAGTTTCCTATTTTAGGACGAGAAGGCAAATATATTTGTTTATATAGGTGGTAGGAAGGTACAACTGTTGCCCATGTTTTGTTTTTTGTTTTTTGTACTGGAGATTGAACCCAGGGGCACTTTACCACTAAGCCATATCCCTGACCCTTTTGTTTTTTATTTTGATACAGGGTCTCACTAAGTTGCTTAGGGCCTTGCTAATTTGCTGAGGCTGGCCTTGAATTTATGTCTCCCAAGCCACTGGGATTGAAGGCATGCACCACCACACCTGGCTGTTGCTCATGTTGTTTTATGGACAGTTTTAAAATTAATTACTCTAATTATTGCCCCGCATCCCACACTGCTCTCCATTCCTGCTGATTCCAGCTTGGAGCCATTCTTAAGTGCTACCAAGAAGAATGTATTTCTATGGAAGCATTCCTTACTCTGCTTTATAATCTATTTGCATGCCAAAATCATCTCGGGTCTGCTGATAGGTCTTCATTCTGTGTCCCAAATGTTAGGTATTTATTTTCCATTTGTATTTCTTTACAGTCATTTTATTTAACTTGAATGGGAAGTCTTCACATCCTTCTTCAACTAGATGCCTTGAAGTGAACTCACTACCCCAGAAAACATCCCATGCTTCCTGAAGGAAAGATCCTTATGAAGGACCTCACAAATGCAGGGCCTTTGCAGCAGTTACTAGCTGAGAGCCTGAACAGAGACCCACATCCTCTGAAGACACCTACACAGATCCCTCTCCAAGCCTACTCTGATCTTACTAGTTGTTTTCTAGGCCTGCTGTTTGGCCCCCATCCCGGGGCTTCCTTCCACTACGGCCATGCTTCCTGGCTTCCTTAGCTGCTTCCTTCTTAGTTTATACTTCTGTCTTATCTTCTGTTTAGTTTGAGTAGAGATTGATCCTCAGCACCAGAAAATAAATATATAAAATAAAGGTATTGTGTCTATTGGATACTTTACCAYTGAGTTATATCCCCAAGTCTTTTCCTTTTTTATTKTAATACAGGTCTCACTAAGTTGCTTAGGGCCTCACTAAGTTGCTTATGC